CCCGCCTCTCCTTTCTGCCTGGCACGGGCTTTCCCACCGGATCCCCTGGCTCAGATATGAGCTGGGACAAAGCCCCTGTCTCTGCCAGCCTGGCCCCCATCCAGCCTGGCCCTCCCCCCACTCCACCTTCTGTGAAAGCCCTAAGCTGGGAGAGTGGGCTAAGGGGAGTGAGAATAAATGGCAGGGGTCACCCCCCTCCCACGCTGGCTATGAGAAGCCCTGAAGACCCAGAATATTCCTTGGAAGCTCTAACAGCCCTTCCACTCTCTGAATGGGAGGGGGGAGCCAGATGACACGGAAAAAGGGAGAGTGGAAAAGGAAGAAGTGCCCTTACGTTCCCAGCAAAGCGAGTTAGATACCAAGCCTGTGTCCTCCAGAGGGCAGGCTGCAAGCCAGTGTCCTAGGGTACCTCTGAGGGTTAGGGCAGAACATGGAGACCCATTGGACTAGGCCAATGGTGCCGCAGGAGGGCTGAAGGCTAGACTGCAGGCAAGACTTCCAGGCTTACTCCCAGGTCAGCCCCATTGTTCAATCATCATCTCTCTGCCCTTCCCTGAATCTGAAGATTTCCTTCTTCTCACAGATCCAAAAGGTAGTCTCTTTTGTCTCTCTGCCATTGTAACCTCCATTTCCCCCATTGTGGCTGGGTGTCATTTTATTGGGGTCAAAGTTGGGACAGGAGTGACAGGAGCCAGATGCCCAAGGCCTCTCTTGGACCTTTGAAGGAAAGGAGGTTCTTGAAGGAGCCAGATCAGAGGGTGCTGAGACCAGCACTAGCCATCGGGTCCTCGGAAGGTTTGTGTTGGGGGGTGGGAGTGGCATGGGTGTTTGGCATGAGCAGCCAGTGCTTGAGGGTAATTAGGAGACCATTGGCCAAGAGCATTTGAGCCAGAGCCTAAGCCAAACTCCTTCCCAGTGCCCTCCCTTCCTCTCCTCTCTGGGCTGGAGCTGGCTCTCTGGGGCCAACACTTTGGACTACTCCTTCTAGCCTCTGTCTGAAGGTAAGGGGATGGAGGAGGAAGATATGAGACTGAGGGGCACCTGCTGCCCTGGAACATGAAGGGCACCCCACTCCCAACTCCAGAACTGGGAGTTACTAAAAAGAGGGCCAAGAGGGTGGCTGTGGTTGTGTGGGCTCTTAGGTCAAAGTGGGGCCGCAGCTGATTCCTCATCCTGCCAGGGGTTTGGAGAAAACTCAGGAACCCCCTCCTTCAGTACCAGGCTCATCACTCAGATGTCTAGGGCTTGGCCTTCTCCTTCCTCCTCCCACACCACCCACTTTCTCTCCGTCTTCCTCTAGAGAAGGGCACATGGCTCCTCTTCTAACTCAGAGATTTGCCAGTCCTTCTGTCCCTTCCCCTACTTTCACTCCAGCCTCCTCTCACCCCTCTCCAACCCTCTCATTCCTGTCCCTGCCTTTAGATGTCTGCCTTCCTTCTGTGTTTCCTCCAGCTGTTCAGGGACATTTCCTCATGTTACAGCATCATTCCTTTCTGACTTAGGACCTTCATCTTTCTCACAAGCATCACCGATCCAGTCCACAGAGAATCAAGAGCAGGCTGTGTGTGCATGAGCAAGTGTGCTCCTAACACCCACTCACTACCTTCATGCTGAATGCCCACCCACTGGCAGCCCACAATGTGCCCCCTAACAACTGAGCTCCAGGGCCCAGCAGGGGCAGCAGGAGGCCAAAGCTCTGGCCACAGCAGGATGGCTCTCAGCTGCCCCCATGGCGGCAGTCTGCAGAGCAGCAAGAGGCTTTAGCAGGGCTGGCAGGCGGCGTAACTGCGGTAATCACATAAATTGTCCTCATTATTGGAAGCCCGATGAAGAATAACACTATTAGTTACCCATCTACTGTAGCTCCTCTCCGTACACAGTCTGAAAGGTGCACGAAGCTCTTGTCAACGGTACTTAGCGGTGACGGCACAGGCACTGGACATGCTGGTCTTTTGGCTGTTATCTGGACTCAGCTAAGGGTTGTAAGTGATACCGGTGCTAACAAAATCGATGGCAAAGCTCTTGATCCCGTTAAGAGTCAGATGACCAGAGTTATTCTGCTGGCAACGGGTTTGGGGGAGTTCTTCCCCAAAGGGGTTCTCAGCAGCCCCCAGCAGTGATAAACAGAATTCCACTTAACAGGTCCTGACCGCCTGCCAAAGGCAGGTGTCCTCCTTGTTTCCCGTGCATAACTTCCTCAGGGAGGAACACACCATGTTTATGGTTTTGGCTATACACCACTGAGGATCCCAAGGTTCAGGGAGGCCAATTAACTTGCACAAGGTCACACAGCAAGTAAGTAGATGAGGGGATTCCAGGTTTAGAGTCCCAGAGACGACTCCCTCGCTGCAGCTCCTCCTATCGGCTGCCCTGCGGGCTACAGCCGAGTGTCCCCAGGAGAGTGGCGGGTGGCCGCCGCTCCGCACGCGGAACCTCCGGCGCGGAGCAGGGGGCTGACTCGGACCGCTGCCTCCCTGCCCAGGACAAGGTCGGACATCCCCGCGGCGGCGCAGGGAGGACGCGTGCCCACCTCCCGTGGACCCGAGGCGGAGGGAGCTGCGGGGGGCAGCAGCAACGGGGGTGGCAGCGGCAAGGCTGGGCGTTGCGGCGGAATCTGGCAGCTGGCAGCAGGGGCGGTGGGCGCTCCGCAAAGCCGGCCGCCGCCCTCGCCCAGGTGGGCGCGCCGGGCCGGGGCCTCGGAGGCCAGGGCTGTGGGTCCCGGGGCGCGGACCCCGGGGGTGGGGGGTGATGGGCGCCCCACCTTGCTCCCCACCACGCGCGGCGGGCGGCTGGGCTGCGGTCTCACTCACCTGCCGGCCGGAGGCCGAGGGCCGGGGTGGGCGTGCGGCGCCGCGAAGTTTGCCGCCTCCTCCGGGGGCTCCTCCGGGTCCACGCTCGGTCCTGCGGCTGCAGCCCAGACTGCGGCGGGGACTGCGCGGACTCGGGGAGCGGCCAGGCCCGCAGGGCGCTCGGAAGAGGGCGCCGGGCCGCCCCGCGAGGCACAAAATCCCCTTTCTTCCCCCCGCCCCTGCCCCGCCTGTCCCCGGGCCGCCCCCGCCCCCTTAGTTGGGAGCCCGGGGGGCTCCGGCCGATCACGGGACCGGCTGGCTTCTCTGCGTCGGTTTCTGGCGGCCGCGACGAGAGCAAGGGCGAGTGAAGTAGGACATGGTTCTGGGGCTGAGACGCGAAGACTTGGTACAGTAGGGAGGGAGGGCCGAAGGGGCGGGGAGGGAGCGCTAGCCTGAGCTCGAGGATGAGGTTGCAGCTAGAGGGATGGAAGTTAGACAGCCGGAAGGACTTCCCGGTAGTCAAAGGAGGAAGAGGAGGGACTCAAATTCCGGCTTGGGCACGGCGGGGGTTGGGGGGGGAGATGAAAGGAAAATGGGAGACTTTGTTCCTGGAAAGATCTGGGAACCTCGCCCCACCCCGTGGTTTGCGTTGGAGGGATGAAGATGGGGGAAAGGCTCTTTTTAGGAGGTAGGAATGAAGTGCTAATGGCCGCGGCCACTCCTGGGGAGCTCTGGGTTGGGTTTTGTCTCTGTGGCCCTGGGGCTCGCTGTACAGAGGAGGAGCTGACTTTGCAGCTGAGGCGTGGAGGTTAGACAGCAGACTCCTGGCCTAGCCAGGGAGTCTTTAGGCACAAAGGGCAAAACGAGGCTAGCACGCTGGGGGGATGCTCGTGGTCATGCAAACCAATATGCCAGATGCCGGCGTTGCTGGGAGCCCAGAGGGCCACAGGCCAGGGCCGCTGCCGCGGACTGTGCAGCCTGGTGCCAGGGGGCGGACCCTGAGCCTGCCCAGCCGGGAACTCCTCACCACTCAGAATACCAACGACATCACCCCCAGGCCCAGGGCCCCGACTTTCCCAGGCTCCCTTTCCTCCTCCCTCCTCCATGGGACTCCAGGCAAAGCGCCTCCTGGCACACGCTTGGGGCAGGACAGGCAGACGCCTGGATTCTCTCCCCAGGACAGAGGTGACAGTGGCACCAAGGGCAGCTCGTGGGAGACTCTGCTCTCAGATTCTCCATTTGAATCCACGAAACACCCCCACATAAAGTGGGGCGCCTGCAATGCAAATGCAGCCCGTGCAGGTGCACGGAGAAAAGTCTGTCCTGGGGTCACCAGCAGGAGACCCTGCCTCCTTTGTCTTTTAGTCGCATGTGTAGGTAAGCTGGGACAGGCACATACAGTTCTTCAGCATCAGTTTATCAAACGACTGCGGCGCACTCTTTCACAAGCACCATTATTCTCACTTTATTTTTGACACAGTTTCCAACCTTTGTCCCACCAACACACCCTAGCCTAACTCCATGCCCCCCACTAATGATCCATCACGTTTTTCTGATCAGTTTATCATTTCCGCCCTGAAGCATCACCAGTATTTGCATGGTGTACTCTTTGAAGACATGGCTACCAGAGGGGAGATAAGGGGACCAGTTCCCGCCAAATACAAAGCTACGCACACAACACACAGCGTTTAAGGCAACTGCGACCTACAAGGTGTGCCCGCATCCCCTCCTTCCCTGAGCCAAGGAAGCGCTGAAGCCACGCAAGGTTTTCCTGGGTAGTGTGTGCGTTGGCCATTATGAACCCTTTATGGCAGTCTGCTCTTAAGAACAGGAGCCCCAGTGGCAGTGGCATAGTGGGTTACGTATTGGGCTGCTAATCTTGGGATCATAAGTTTGAAACCAAGAAGCTCACCGGACGGGAAAGAGGAGGCTCTCTATTCCCTTAAAGAGGCAAATTCTGGGGAACTTCCCTGTTGGAGAGGGTCTCTATGAATCAGAAGAATCAGAAATAACTCCATGGCAGGGGGCTCTTAAGTCGGGTCTTTTGGAATTGACTGTGCAAGACTGGAGGGGAGAGTCGTAGGCCTTGGGAGAGTCTGCGGAGGAAGACTTTATTCATGTCACTGGGAGAAAAGTTGAGGCTTCAGGAAGTTCATGGGGAAACTATTCTCTTTGCAGTTTCTCTTTTTTTTAATTAAAAAAATCTTTTTCTTGGCATTTTCCACGGACTTTTTTCCGCTCCCCTTCATATTCAATGAACAACTCCAGCCGTGTACCAGGCACTGTTTATTTATTTATTTGTAGTCTTATTCTTATCCCAGAAGTTACTGTTTCAAGGCATGCCTACAAATCAGAAAAGAGTCCAATTAGAACAGTAGAACGTGGAGGACAACAGGGGAGAGCGATAGCTAGTCTATTCAGCTGGTTGGCAACACAGCTGTAAGAACTGCTCTCACCCGAAGCTCTCGAGTCCACTTGTTGTTGTTGTTAGGGGCCATCGAGGGGCTCCAACCCACAGTGACCCTGTGCACAACAGAACGGAGCGCTGCCCGCTCCTGCACCGTCCTCCTGGTCGTTCTTAGGCCTGAGCCCATCGCTATAGCCACTGTGTCCATCCATCTCATTGAGGGCCTTCCTCTTAGGCTTACACATCATATGTACAGTCAACTTGGGTTTAAGGAATATATATATATTCCTTATATATATATATATTCCTTAAATATATATATATTCCTTATATATATATTCCTT